CCCCCCCCCCCCCCAGAGTGAGAGTTGGGGGCAGGGGAAACCCTGAAGAAAGATTTTCTGCATTAGAAAGGAGGCCTGAGAGAGAAAGCCGTTTTAGGCAGGCAGGAAGCCATGGGCAGCAGGGGAAGTGGCTGAGCATGTTTTGCTAGCTGGGAGGATCTGGTGGAGCTGAAGGAACAGATCAAGGTTAGTAGAAACCAAACCACAAGTCATCCGCCTTCCTAAACACTGATAAGCATCCAAAGACTTCCCAGAGAGGGGCGAGTTAGGCTGGGGCATGCATCTCAGAAGCCTGCTGCTCCCCATTACTGCCCTACATGATTCATTTACACTTCCTTTAAAGAGAAAGCGCAAACGATAAGAGTGATGCTGCAGCCATGATGGCCCAGAAATTATGCAAAAGGCAAGGATTTCTTGGGGTGGTATCTTTTATTGAAACAACTATGTAATCGGCATGAAGTTAGACAAGCTTTCGGATGCAAGACATTCTTCTTCAGATCACCGGAGGGAGGTCATCCGAGGAAGAATGTCTTGCATTCAAAAGTGTGTCTAACTTCATTCCAACTACATTGTTGGTCCAATAAAAGATACTACCCTAAGAAATCCCTGTCTCTCTTTAAAGGAAAGAATTGTTGACCTTGTTGGACAAGCCTGAAAGCATTACATCAGGAAATCCTTGTGGAGAGATGGTACGTGCGATTCATTGATTGGGGATGGGCTGCATCGTCACAGTAGGGGCAACTATTAGAACTAACTAACTAATTAGAACCAACTATTAGGACCATCACTACTCCAAGCTCCCCATATACTTCGTAGCCATGTATCAGGATACGTGCCTGGGAAGTATTGGGGGGAGGGCTTAGAGTAGTGATGAGCCAGATTTACCTTATTTCTCATTTTTGGGCTGGATAACAGACCTATAAGAAACAGGCAAAATTATGGTTCATTGGGACTTAGGAGATCAAGCTGATGTAGGTACCATGCCAACTGGGTACTAAATGCATGATCAGGGAATGCACCTACATAGCTACCTGTGTGTTAGTTAATACATTTTGGAAGACTCTGGACCTGTATACCTGTGCATCTATCCCCTCTGTCAGCAACCTGATCTCCTGGCTGATGGCAAATAAAGCTCATCTGGTTTATTGCGTTTGTCCACCTGAACCGTGTTGAAGTAGGAGCTGGGAGGCCCTTGGGAATTATAACATCAGAAACTCTTTGCAGTGCCTTTCTGTATTGGGAAGGTGTTTGCTCACATCTATCATACCTTCCTGGCAGGGGAAGCACAGTGACCATGTAGGCGGGTGACCCAGGGGAAGGTATGGGTCGTTTTGTTCAACCAAAAGTTTGCTCAAGGACCCTTGTCATTTGCCCCAGCATGCGTGCCTGGGGCAGGTGCTTTTATTTTCCCATTTTGGACTTCTGGTGTCTGAGAACACCGGAAGATCCAGATGGCGGTGAGCTACGCGGAAGCAGCCAGGAGGGCTGCGGCTTCTGGAGAAGTTGAAGCAAGGCGAGCAGCAACAAGACTGAGCAGGAGAGCATAATCTGTCCGATTCTGAATAACAGGCAGCCCAACACACCCCACGAGCCTCCCCAGTGACATGCCCAGAGAGGAATTTTCCAGGAAAGTGCTGCAAGACCTATTACAGGTAAATAAGGCTAATTTATTTTACATGATTTGCCTAGGCTCCACCTTGGAGTGGAAGATTGGCTTCAGAAACCCCACCTCCAGGGCAGATCTCTAGCACCACCTCTGGAAGCAGGAGGAGGATCCCGGGCTGGCTAATCTTTTTTTTTTTTTTTTTGTGTGGGGGGGGGGGGGGGGAGTGCCCTGGGGAAGGCATGGAAGCAAAAGACTATAAAGCTGCAGTTTTTCACTGCAGAAATAGAGGAGGAGATTTGATCCTGGCTGAGCAGGCATTGTGAATAGGTGGGGTCTGTTGAGGAGGAAAAAGATGGAGAAAGAATCTGAATGGGAGCGTGGATAGCAAGGGTCTAGCAGCTCTGACTCTCGGACACCACAAGGGCCTGATTTACTATCGGGAGCAACCCAAGTTATGCCGCAGATGCGGGGAGGAGGGCAACATGAGGAAAGATTGTAAAGTGGAGATCTGTGCAATGTGCCAGGAGAAAGGACATAAAATGGGAGCCTGCGGGAAGGCATGGCACTACAACCTCTGCGGGGAGGAGAGCCACCGACTTAGAAAATGTTCCAGGGCAAAAGCCAATGCAAGCTTTCAAGAAGAGGAAGAGGATGACGCTCCCTCAATGCTCTCTGACATGACATATCAGGGTGATATCGAAGAAGCTAGCTCCGGGGAAGCAGAGCAAGAGAGAAAGGAGAAGGAAGAAGGGGAAGAGGGCTTATCAGAGACAGAGACCCCACGCTATCTCTCGAAGTGGGGGAAACCATCAGGCAGCTGAAGGAGCTAGCTAAAAAGGTGGGCTCCCGGCCAACCCCAGCAGAGGAGCAAAGCGCAGAGGAGGGGGAGACAGAAGAAGGAGCAATGGAGGCGACTAAAGAGACCCCCAAGGCAGGGATCCAGCCCCCGAGGGACAGGTGGACAAGGAAGAGAAAGGTGAAAACTCCAAGCCTCAGACCCACCCCCGAGTCTGAGCAGGAAATCTGAATATAAGTGACTGGGAAATAATCTCAGTCAGAGGAAAACACAAAAGAAAGCCAGACAGGGAAAAACCCACCACTCTCCTGAAAAGTAGCACAACAGGGCTTGGAAAAGCAGTCACCAAAGATATGAAAACAAGAGGCACAGGTTAGAGGTTCTGGTTGCAAAGGAGGAAGCAAAAGCAGGAAGCCTCCCCCCACCTCCCCGCTCCCTCCCTTTGAACAGCCAGCAAAATGAAGAGGCTCCACATCATATCAGTTAATGTTGGAAGCCTTGCTGGGCAAAGGCAGTGGGACCAGATCTGCCAGCCCTTGGAACAAACAGAGACAGACATAATGTGCCTGCAGGAACGTGGCTTGCCTAGTCAGACAGCCCGCTACTTGTGCTCCTAACACATGGAGCAGCTGTGTGGTCAGGGGGCAGATGACAACAGGGCTACTGGTGTCCTAATCCTACTGAAGAGAGACACCATGTGCCCTCTGCAGCACAGCAAAATAGTTGCAGGCAGACTGATGCAAGTCACCATGGAAGCAAATAGGATAACTTTCAACGTGTTGTGCATGTACGTGCCAGCCCACCACACGGCAAGGCGCGAGTTTTTAGAAAACACGGCCAAAACAATGCTGAGCAGCTGGCGGTAATAATAGCAGGGGACTTCAACTGCATCATCAGCGAGAGTGACAGAGTCAGCAGTGCCCAGAGGTTCGGCATGGACAGATCCTCTAGGCAACTGAACAAATGGTCCAGGAGCAGAGCCTAGTAGATGCTGGTAAAGAAGCCCGAGGCCCTGGGGGAAACTTCACACGGGTGGAGCCCACAGGGAAAAACAAGACCTGGATATACTTTGTCTGACTCCTCAAGGAGCGGAGGGCAAAGGAAGCCCACTCCACACCCGGCTGTTTCTCGGACCACTGCCTCCTCACAGTCCAGGCTGAGCTGGGAGGACAGCTGGAAAGGGGCAGAGGGGTGTGAAAGCTAAACACCAGTCTGCTGGAAGACGAGAAGACCCAGCATAGGTTCAGAGAGCAATATGCCAGCTGGAGGACCCTAAAGGCCCTGTGCCCAAACCAAACAGTGGTGGACCAGCGTCAAAGGCAGGACCAAAGGCTGCTTCCAGCAGACCAGCAAGTGGCAAGCTTTCTTGCACAGAAGGCAGCATGAGCGCCTGACCCATAAGATGCAGGTCTTGCATAGGCAGGCAGTGGCAGGCTGGGGTGTGAGGGAGGACATGCAGGAGGCAAAGACCCAGATTGGTGCCTGGTACCAGAAGAAGGCCAGGAAAAAGATCTTGCAGGCCAGGGCCCGGGCCCAATGGGTAGAGGAGTGGGAGGAGTGGTCTGCTTACTTCGCCAGGCTAAATATGAGCAAAGGAAGCCCATAACGTGCGTGAAACAGGGCGCAGGAGCGGTGCACCGGTCAAAGAAGGGCATGCTGAACGCGGCAGCCGTCTTCTACCGGAAGCTGTATACCACACGACTGGAGGACCCGGGGGCCAGGCCGCAGGGCCTACAGGGGCTCACCTGGGCCCTAGGAGAGGAGGAACAGCAACAACTGGAGTGAGAGTGGACACTGGAGGAGGTCGAGAAGACCCTCCGGGGATTTAAGAGCAGTAAGACTCCTGGGTCGGATGGCCTGCCCAAGAAGTTTTATGTGACCTTCTGCGACTTGGTGGATCCCAACCTGCTGAAGCTCTTTCAGGAGTGGATGCAGGAGGGGCGCCTGGGGGCTGGGATGGACAGGGGCCTCGTGACCCTCCTGTATAAGAAGGGTCCGAGGGAGGATTTGAAAAATTGGAGGCCCATCACCCTCCTGAACTTCAACTATAAACTGCTGGCCAACATCTTGGCCAAGCAATTTAAATCTGTCCTAGGTGCCATCATCCACAAGGACTAGTGTGTAGTACCAAGATGCCAGATCCAGAGAGCCCTGCTGCAACTGAGACGTGCTCCAGCTGGAATAAGACTGCGGGCAGAAGATGACGGTGTTGAACCTGGACCTGGAAAAAGCCGACGACAGTGTGTCACACCGGTTCCTCTTCGAGAACCTGCAGAGGATGGGCATCCCTGCGACTTTCAGCAGTTGGATAAGGACGCTGTACATGGATGTAAGCAGCCAAGTGCTGGCAAACAGTTTCCTGAGCGAGGAGATCGCAATAGAGTCAGGGGTCCATCAGGGCTGCCCACTCTTCCCAATCTTCTTCATCTGCACCATTGAATCCCTGGCTCAGCGCATCAGGCAGGACCCTGGGATCCACGGAGTCCAGATCCCTGGGGGAAGTAAGAAACAAGCCAAAGTCCTGGCCTACATGGATGATTTGAACATCCTGTGCGGGAATAAGTGTGCAGTAGAAAGAGTCCTGTGGCACGCATGGATTTACGAAGCGGCAGTGGGGGCCAATCTCAATGTGAGCAAAAGCACCTGCCTGGCCGTGGGTGAACTCGGGGACCTGGAGTCCCTAGGGGTCTCGGGCCCCCACGAGGGGGTCAAGATCCTTGGGGTGGAATTTGACCTGGAGCTGTGTGGAAGGACAGCCTGGGAGAAGGAGGCCAAAGTAAAGCAGAGGTTGAGTATCTGACCCCCAGGACCTGAAATTTAGCAGTGGCGTTGTTAAATGCTGCTGTTCATCCCACTTCCAAATCTGTCCGCTGTGGGCAGCCCCCACGGGTCAGATGATGTGGCTTCATGCTCCAGATCCACCCTGCAGGGCTTCCCACAGGCTCAGAAATTTGGCAATGGGATTAGTGGTAGCAGCATTACTTGCTGAGGCTCTGGGAGCCCAGGCAATTAATGCTACCACCCTCATCCTGCCACCAAATTTCCAGTCCCATGAGGGGCCAGATGACGTGGCTCTGCAGGCCAGATGTGGCCCACAGCCTGCACCTCTGATACCCCTGAGCTAGTGTCTGCAGCACTTGTTTAGGAATTGAGACACCCAGATTCTAGGGCAATGATTCTCAACCAGGGTGTCACAAGATAAACTCAGAGATTTCAAATAAAAATATATTGTTAAAAACACCCTGACCTTTTGTGGTCTTTCCAAGTTCTTTGCAACAGAAGAATTGCTCTATTATTTTCTGTATCATTTTTCTGTAGTCAAAAAGCAAGCAAAAACTAAAGAACTGGCATTTTTTTGAGAGGGACCTTGAGTCTGAAAAGCTTGAAAGCCACTGTGCTAGGCTCTCCTCAATCAGAGAGGTTGAACCCACAGCTCCCACTTTCTAGCAAAGGGTCTTCCATAAATCACTAGGCTGCAGGGCCCAAGGTATCCCCCAGCCTTCCTGTTGAACCTAGTTCTCTGGGCATCAAGAGGGAACAATATGTGGGAGCAGAAGGAGAGCAAGAAAGAGGAAGCTTAATTTGGTTGCCCAGTGAAAACTCACCCTTTCTATAGACTGGTTTTGTTCTCTTTTCCAGAGACCTACTCCAGTCTTTCTGTAGTTCTGATAGCAGAGTTTCTGGAGAAAAGGGAGAGAGAGATGATGTTTCCATGCTGCCATATTCATGACAAGTTTTAACTACCTGGCACAAGCAATTGCAGGAAACAAAAGTTAATTACAGAAAACAGAGTGAAAGCTGTAGAGATGTAATATTTGGCAAGGCAATGTCTTTAGAAGCACAGGAAAGATTTCTAGGTAGGGCAAAGCATAATTAGAATCAAAAGCAATCTCTGAATTTCAGTCACCAAAAGGAAGGGAACCTTTAAACAATTTGATACCTTAATTTGTCATGCTATTAAATGCTATTAAATAAACAGCAATGGCATTTCAAAACCCCTGTGCAAAGTGTGTCTGCTTATACTTATTGCTTGGCCCTGAAGAAAAGTATTGCTCAGAATGCCTATGTGACTGGGGTCTGTTTAAGCTACTGTGGTATGGTAGGTATGGTTAGTCTCAGCACTGGCCCTGGTGACATGATGCATTTGGGGTGTAGGGCCTATTTCCTTGATAGGACAACAGATCTAAAGCCTACGTACCAGACTGGTGAAGGGAGGAAACAACAGTCTAACGAGACCCAAAGCAGGTTAGAGCTCATCGGGCCATGGTGATTAGACCCAGTGTAGTAGAAGGGGACTGTGACCTCTCTATCCCCCATTACTTAGAAAAACATGAGTAAGAAAACAGATCACACTCATGCAATTATTGATTCTGAATAATACTTTCCTTAGCCTTGGAAAATCCCCCCATTCCTGTCCCTGATTGAGGAATTACAACTTAGCATTTACTCTGACTTCAATTGTACATGAGCATCTAATCACAAGTAACTGGACAATTCCCATCGACTCTCACAGTCACACGTGCTCATCTCTTTTTCCTAAGCCAGAAGCCCTTTTGGTACCTGTGACTTTCCCCAGGATCTCCTTTACGGCAGTATTTTTCTGGCACCAAAAGTCAAGTTTGTTCTTTAGGTCAGAAGAAGTCACCTCTGGCTGCTGGCATTTCCCTTCTCCACATCTAGGCACAAAAAAAAGGTTGTTCTAATTATGTGCATTTACAGAATTATTTCACTACTACACTCCTGAGAGGAAACCAATGTCATCTGATTTCTCATTTGTGCTGCATTAAACTTCTTTAAAATGTGGATCAAACAGACATCCTTACCCTTTGTTGCACCACATGAAAAGAAAATCAGTGGTAAAACAAAAGGTAGTAACAGACTCCGCTGTTTTATTGTGGCAGACATCTATTACCTCGCAGTGTTTTCCCCACTCAGACAACCCCGGGAGACTGGCTGGGTGAGGAAAATGCTATTTCCCCCACTGCCCCAGACACACGCCATGGGGTTAAGGCAGTAGGGAAAAGTGTCGCCACTCAGCCAGCTGTGTGCGCCTGGGACAGTGGGGAAAGCAGGGAGATCACATTGTTCCTTATCTTGCACCAAAGGTGGAACAAGGAACAACGTATGTTTTTTCACAGGGAAGCAAATCAATGGTGTGTGACACTGCAGCACCACTGAATCACTCCATTAAGTGAGGTCTATTTTTAATCTGTGTTTTACAGACAAAGAGCAATGATAGTTTGGCAATGTCAACTGAAGCTTCCCTTATAGCGTTTCATTAAGGAATTTCAATTGTGATCCACTGAGGGTTAAGAAGGGTGTTCAGACCCCCAGCGATAAATCACTGTTTGGCCTCCATGCTTTGCTGGCAGGTAGGGTCCCTCGGGTTCTTGCATTGTAAACTCCTGCCCCTGTGGACCTGGAGTGAGAACTGGTCTCACAGCAGCTCGTTCCTCACAATTCTGCAAAGGACCTCCAGGTCTCAGAAGTTTAAACGTACAAGAAAGACTTAAAGCGTCAGGAAATCCTGCTCGTGCAAAAAGACATGCAGCTGCAGCGCGTGAAAGGGGAAAAATTGTGATGTGTACACGAGCCCAGAGACTTCTGTCCACAACTGACCGCAGCCCTACCAAACCAATACTTTAGAGGTGAAAGGCCATTGCACCATTCCCAGAATCCTGGAGCTGCAGCCAACTTTTGGAAGGACGTGAAAATAACTTGAAGCTTGTAGGAAACACAGAAACCCTCTGTGCATGAAAAAGGGAGATTTCTACCTGAGACGTCACCTTTCCCAACTTTTCAGTTGTTCTCAGGAGGGATTTTTAAAACAAGGAGTCCCAACCTATTCCCAGAAAAGCTAAGGGAAAAGAGGGAGTGAGAAGGAACCACATACCTGCTCAAGGTGCTTCTGATGTCCTAGAGGGGAAGACAGAAAAAGAAGCTCAGTCCCACATGCCAGACTTTAGTTTCTCTCATCTTCTGTCGCGTTCTGAGCACTTTGCTAGAGCTACGTACATTTTCAGAGGTTTCATGTTAATCTCCAAAAAAATATTCAATTTTGGGGCACCTGAAACCATTCACAAGGTTGTCCTCAATTCACTGAAGTTTCAGCCAAAATGAAAAATATTTAAGGGGTGGGAGATGGGACACTGAAGAGGGTGTTTCAGCATTTACCAAATGAAACTTTGAATTTTTTTGGTTGGATTCACAAGGTGGATTCATATGGTGACAAACAAAGAACCCAGCCAGAGGAAGAGGGGAGGTATGTCCCCCACCTAAAGCCACATCTCCTTCCTAGATTGCCCAAACCACTGGACTATTGGCTATTACCTTTGTTCGACTTAGCATTGAAATATTTCAATGCTCTGGAGCAAGAACTGCTTCATTGTAGATATGGAGAAAGGCCCACTCCAGAATATCCTCTAGCCTTATGGAAAGTGTAGTTTCAAAACCCTTCTCTGCACCAGGTAGTGAAGGCTTTTGAACTAGTCTACCCTCCTGAACAGCATGTGCCAGAGAATCGCATGCATTTCCCTTGCATTGAGCCCAATGACTTATTTGAATATAGCATCTTCTAGAAAAGAATCCAGTCTCAGTCTTCAAGAGATAGGGAATTCCTACTTCCCCTAGGAGCCTGTTATCCTTTTTGCCGCCCCTGCTGAAACAGTTTTGGTGGTACTTACTCCCTCTAGTGAAACACAGTTAAAGTCACACTATAGGCAGGGCATATTTCCCATTTCTCTTCTGGAAGCTAAAATTAGCCACTCTCCAGTCTGGAAAGCTGAGGTATACAGGGGCAAGCAAACTGCACACAAAGTTATGGCATAACCAACACTATTTTGGACACAACGCATTTGTGTGTGCACTTATCTGCATGTGTAAGTGTATGGGGTTTGGGCTGTAGGCACAAAAATTATAAGGAAGCCAACTAAGCCCTATTTCAAACTGACACAAAAAGAGAACTTTTCTTTTAATCTCCTTGTGGCTAAGATAGTTGAAGAGGATTCAGTTCCTGCCTCTACCACAGAGTCCCCATGTGACTGTGGGCAACAACTGCATTTTTCTTTCCCTCCATCACCAATTTCCTTGGTTGGATTTTCAGGGCAGGTGCTGTATCATATGTTCAAAGTTGCACCTATTTAATTAATCCTGGGTGTTTTTTAGACTATGTCTTTACAGTGGGACATATCCATTGGTGTGGATGAACCTCAGCTGGCAGGAAGAGATTTTCTGCAGTCAGCGCTAAGCTAGGTCCCCTCCCCAAACCACAGGAACCATGTTTTGTCAGCCAGGGCTGCTTCTGCACCAGAGGTTTTGGTTGCAGAGTTGCATTGGTTGTGGGTTGTGAGTGCTAGCTCTTCACTGTTTGCTGACATAGCTGTGCTGGCAACTTATGTGCAAAGGCTCTCAGTTAAGCCAGGGAGATATTAATTTAGTTGCAATGTATTCCTTATGAAATGAGGTACAGTTAGCATAAGATAACCAGAGCAATAGCATTTCTGCTGTGCTCTTGTGCAGAGTTATCAAAGCCAAGTTAAAACTTAAACTAGTACAATAGGGAATAGACCAGAGCCATATAATACATATATAATATTACACACACAAACATGAATATATACATTAAATCTGTCTATGTCCTTAGACCAACACAGTTGCAACAACCCTTAAACACAGACACACGCATGCAGTACAAATAACCATGGAGCCCTGAAGTCACATGTGTCTGCTAGTTGTTACTCAAACATATACTCTTTGATGTAGGCACCAATAATGTTATTGCTATTTTTCAGGGTGCTAGCTGAGCTCGGAGCTGTAGGGTTGCACCTTAGAGGCTGTACATGGAGAATTCTTTCCAGATGTCAAAATGTGGGGAAAGGGAACGTGACCCTGGTAACATACCATCGAGCGTCTAAAGTAGGGGATGGGTCTTTTGTGGACGCCTCGAGTGACAGTTCAGGAAGGGCTCTGGGATCTCTCCCCCACAGTCTTACCTGCAGAAGATCACTTGCTGTCTGCTGGCATTTCCCCTCCATCTCCCTGATCAATTCACCAAGCCGGGAAAACTCCTCTGAGATTTTAGTGATATTTTCCTTCTGCTTCTTCACAACCTCCTTGTCCAGCTCTTCCATCCGGGCCAATAGGAGTCGCTCTTGCTCATCCAGCAACTGGCACAGTTGCTGAAATTCAGAGGCAATCTTTTGCCTTTCACCATTTCTCTTTTCCTTCCGTGAGCAAACACAAAGAACGAAAGAGTGAGTCTGCAGCCTGAAGAGACCCACAGCGTATTCTATAAAACCCTGATGGCACAAGGGGGGAATATTCCTCACCGTTTCTAACGTTCAACATCGTTCCTTGGAAATCTCCTTTATGGATGACAGAGAATTTTTCCTAGATGTCCCTGGAGGCTGCCCACTGCCCCTCATGGCAGAAACATCATGGGGGCAAGGTCTGAGACCCACAACACCATCCCTACCAGGAAACTGCGGGTGCATCTACACATGCATTAACACGCTTTAGTTGATGCACATTAAATCTAGTACCTTTGGGCACTTATACACATACTTTTTTGTCCTGTGACATGCCGGAGATCCACCACTTTGGAAAAGACTTGATTAATCAAGTCTGCTCCGCATACGAGTTAATATACAACTGCATGCAGCGCAGCATGGTGCACAAGTGGCATGCAGAAAATGGTGGTGATGTGCTTTTGAACTAAAGCACCTCTAATGTGTTTTAGTTCAAAAGTGCACCACCACCACTTTATCAGCACTGACATGCATTTTGCCACTTATAAAACTGTACGTGTCACAGCGCCAGGTGATTTTCAAAGTGTCTGGGGCTGCTGTGCTTGCATATGTAAAACTGCCCTCCATTATGAGGTACTAGGAGAATGTGCATTAGCATGTCTTAATGTACATTAACTAAAAAGCATGCTTTTTACAAGTGACGTTTAATGCACCTTAATTTATTTTAATGCACATTAAGTAAAAAGCACGGTTTTTAAGTGAAGTTTTAATGCACATTAAAATATATGTTATCACACATTAAAATGCATATATAGACACACCCACATTCACTCCCTGCAGGTCCCACTCCTTCTGGCTACAACCATTTTCTCTCTTTCAGCTGCACAGAGGGCCAGCTTCAAGTGTAAGTGTGGAGGGCATGCGTGCCAGTACCTAGCTCAACCTACAGGCTTCAGCACTTTGCTAAGAAGCAGGAGATGAAGGTTCAAACCTCATCTGGGTGAGAGGGGACTTGCACCTTGGTCTCCCATCCCCTGCATAAATGCTATAACCATCAGGTGATTGAGTTAATACCGGAAAGCTAGGCACCTCCGGTATCAAGCAGTTGCTAATTGTGACTAATATTTCTAGGAATTCCCACACCTGCCTGAAGGAAATAGGATCATAACATGGTACAAAGAGAAGAGCAGGTCCCTATGAGCCGAAGGACCTAGGGACTTGTGCAGGGAGCAGGAAGTAGGATCTAAAATTGGCATAAGTGGCCCCAAATGTCACTTGTCTGGCTCAAGTGAGCTGCATAAGTGCTACTTGCCACCAAAAAGGAGCTGGGTTTGGGACAGTGTCATGTCTCCACCAGAACTCAATGGTGGGACCCCAAATGAACATTAGTTATCCCCATTGCAAGAAACGCATACTTTTTTAGTTGCAAAGACACTTTTATTCACTACCATATGCTCCAAATCAACATAAATTATCTTGGGAGGAAGCAAAAGCCAGTGGTCAATAACTGTGGATGTATTAAGGAGTTTGTTTTAGATAGATAGGCCTTATCCCTAAGAGATCTTCATACAGACAGGGACAGAGGGAACAGCTATGCTGGCTGCCTCCCTGCATACAGGTAGACTTCTGGCAGCAGCAAGTACCTCAAAAGTACCTTTGCAATGTAGCAAGGCAAAGGAATTTGGGATGGCAGCCCTGCCCTGTTGTTTTCACAATGCAGGGCAGGCCATGCTCCCCACATCTGCTCTCCTTCACAGTTGTTGAGCACAGATCTGTTCATTTGTGTGCAGCTGTCACAAAGATATTTACTCTAAGCTTAAGCTGAAAATTTGCCTCTCACAGCTTAGCCCAGTGCTGTCCAAATGGCAGCCTTTGAGGGCAGTTAACATGGAGCCTGCAGGCCCTGGGGGCTGCCTCTCCAGCTGCCATGCAGTGAAGGAGAGCAGGGGAATTGCAAAGTGCTTGAAAAGCTTGTGTAGCAGGGGGCTGTGTGCTGACACTGCAGCCAATGTGGCTGGGGGACCATGTGTTGCTGTTGCAGCCTGCCTATAATGGGAGGGTAACCAAACCCCCACAGCATGTGGTTTGTGAGGTGTATGGCCTCTATCTGCATCAAGGCTGGGCAACCCTGGCTTAGCCTATTCATGCCTGTCATCTCAGAAACAGTTGTGAACCACAAAAAAATTAACACCTGCAGAGAACCCAAGTATGCACATATAGGAAATACTTACAGAGTCATACATACACAGAGTCCCAGAGAGCCAGCCATAGGCATGGAGAGGACAGGAATAAAGAAAACTGATTGCCCTGATCTCTACCATGAGATGCCCCACTGATCCCCACTCATTCCTAGTTTATACTGGTCAGTGGCAGAAGATACTTACCAGGTACTCCTGGATTTCTCTCTCTTCAGCCAGTTTCAATCCCAGGAGCTTTTCTTTTTCTTTCTTCCTCTTCTGCAATAAGTTCTGGATTTGACCCTAAATGAAGAAAAATGCTTTATGTTGTTTTTTTTTTTTCTCCTGGCAGGCAAGGAGCTGGGTGGGTGGACCTCTTCCCATGAGGAAGAATCCCAGCGTGGATACAACATAGAATCATAGACAAAGAGGGTTGGAAGGGACCTCAGGAGGTCACCTGCTCAAAGCAGTACCATCCCCAACTAGATCATCCCAGCCAAAGCTTTGTCCACCTAGGTCTTAAAAACCTCCAAGGATGGAGATTCCACAACTAGCGTAGCCATCATAGAGGACAGTCCAGTTGCCCTCTATTGATACAAAACCGGACGCCTTTATGTCTTCTATTTTTCTCTTGAAGAGAAAAATATAGGACACAAAGGCATCAGGTTTTGTATCAAGAGGACAGAGTAGCAGAAAGCTGGAATATCCTCTATGATGGCCACCCTATCCACAACCTCTCTAGGTAACCTGTTCCAGTGAGAAGGTTTTCCCTAATATCTAAGCTAATCTTCCCTTGCTACAACTTGAGACCATTGCTCCTTGAGTCTAGTCATGGATTAAATATTTGCTGGCACACTTCTACCAGCAGGAGGCAGCCATGTACCTGTGCGGAGCCCTTTGACAAAAGTAATTCAGCAGTAATTCATATGAACTCTTTCACTAAGCAGTCATATTGACAGCGGTAAGTCTGCTCAATGCACCATCACAAAGGACTGTGCACAAGCACTGCCCGGCCTCTGCGTAGTCCAGATGATTTGGTCCTAAGAAGGGCATTAATGCCTTATTGGAATTGAAGGGAATAACATAGACAAAATGGGGTTAATTTTGCATGGTATAAAGGGTGTACACACGAGGAAATCCCTAGTATATGGGGGAAATTGCTGGTGACATGGGGCCAACAAAAAGTCCGCCATCCCCATCACAGCATCCTGCACTATACTCGTTCTCAGCTGCTATAATTACAGGCAGAATCTGGGTGCAATCTAGAAGAGTCCCTGGAGTTGGGGACCATGTAGGCCCCTGGGGGAGCAGAGACCAAAAGTGTTGAGCCCCAGCTCAAGTCTGGGATCGTGCCCGGTATGCAAAGGCCAATAAAGATACCAGGGGTGAAAGTATAAAGAAGATTTATTGCTAGCAATACAAGGTGCAAGCGGAATAATTTCACGTAACAAGCATACAGATTCTTAATTCTAAGCATCTTTTATACAGGAGTATTGGACCTTCATAAGCATTCTTGTTTGCTAATTGGTTATAAGGGAGTGACGCAAGGAGTTCTTTACTGAGTATGTCTCTATACCTGTGTTTTAGCTATGTATCTCATTTACATACATGTATGTTTCATTAGCATACTTTCTCCCCACCTAGGGGTGTGATTTTTGGTATTTAAATTAGCTCTTTGCCCTAGTCCTCTGATTCTGCTTTTGTTTTCAAGCCTCCTTTATCTAAGACTGTCTCCTCCTTATCATTGCAGATGGGCATTAGTTACATAACAGAGACTTTTGCTTGGGCTTTGTATAGTGGTTTCTAGGTCAAACCTGACAAAAGGAGGTGGAAAGATATTGTATGACCAATTCTACCCTCCTTCTCAGTGTTCAGCTCTGCTAAGATGGAGAGGATCTGTCTCTGTTTGGTTTAATATACAAAAATGGACAGACCCTGAAGGCCATATTTCAGATGGAGGGAACTGTGGGGACCTCCTGCTCCAAGTCTGCTGTTGACCTACCCCAAGTTTATATTCATCTTTATAGACTGCAGTGTCTTCAGGGTAGGGACCTACATGCATGATAACACAACACAGGCTTGCTTGCTCTAATTACTCATGCTAGGAAATCATGAGGAATTCACTTGACCCCATCAGCATGAGTGTGATGCCAACATCCCTGTAATGCAGGCAAGCCAGTAGGGGCAAAGCAGGGCCCTCAGCTACTGGAGCAAGCATGGGAGCCAAGTGTATGGTATTGCAAGAGTCTGGGTCCACTATGCTCTGCTCTTCCTTCCACACATTAAGCCCTCTTCTGGGGGCTACAGGGACTGCAGGGCAGTGGGATTTGCAGCCGACACCAAAGGCAGGTATTTGATTTATTAATTATTTTGCACATACTTGTTTTCAGGAACTAGACCCCTAAGTATTAGCTAGGGGGCTTGTTTTCCTCTCATCTTAGTCCAGCCACGCTCCTTGCATCAGGAATGCAAATGCCTTGCGTGGCAATTCCTGGGCTGTCAGGGATGCAGCACGAACAGCTTTAGGGTTGTTAGTTTTAGCCACGTTAGTCTAAGGACATAAGACGACATGGTTCTTGGGGTAGATACTATATCTTTTCTTAGACCAACTAAATGATTGGAAAAATTGTTCTTTGCAAGCTTTCCAGGACAAACACCCTTCTTCTGGTGTCTGCTGGAGTTTTACGTGCTCTCCTGGGTAGAATAGAAGCCAAATGCAAACACTTTTTCCAATGTTTTGGTTGGTCTAATAAAAAAATATTACATTTACCCCAAGAACCTTGTCTATGTGAACAGCTTGTTTTTGGTTGCAGCACTAACCCTCTTCACTTCAGCACCGTTGGTGGAAAGGGTATCTTCCAACTAGTTCCCCAACAGCAAAGGCTATACCAGGGAAAGGACTTTGGGCTTGCATAACTGCCTACACTGGCAGAGCTATGTCATTTGGGGCTATGATATTTTTCCATACTCCTTCCTAACCACTGTAGCTAAGTTGGAAAGAGAGTTAAGTGTAGACCCAGGCTCAGAGATGTTCCAGTTCCCCTGGGAAGAAAGGGCATACTACACTAAGGGAAAAGAAATTAAATCTTTCAGGAGCAGGGATATTTCCTACTTTGTATTTCTGGGCAGCCTCCTCCATGAGAAGCACAGTGTGAGACCTGTGCTCTGGGGATCTCTCACAAACCACGCACACAGCTTTGCCATCCTCTTCACAGAATAGATCCAGGCTTTTCTGGTGTCTCAAACACAGCTTCCCTTTTCCTTCTTTCATACTCAGTTGTTTGATTTTTTCTAGGATATTTGCCAGGTCCCAGTTTGGCCGGAGATGGCTTTTCCAAAAGCAGGTCCGACAGCTAGGACACAACAAGGGCGTAGAGTCGCCCTCTGCCATTTGCTCACAGTACTGAGTGATACAGGCACGGCAGAAGTTGTGCCCACACTCTATGCTCACTGGGTCTGTGAAATACTCCAAGCAGATAGGGCATTTGGTTTCCTCTTGAATGTCCCATTCGGGAATTGCTGATGCCATGGCTGCTGAGATCTCTGGAATGACAGACCTGACGAGGAAAGAGACAAGGTATGGCTGGGTTGGGCTAGGAGAAGAAAGAAACAAAAATGAAGACTGGAAACAAAACCTAGAATGGCAAGAGAAAGGAAGGGTGCCCCTCACTGGAGGGCAGTAGCATGTCGAAAAGATGTGGTTGTGTTTGTCATTTGGCTCCTTCTTGTTTTACAATAAAAATCCCATAAGCTCTCTCTGTTCCACTGCAAATTGCCTCCCTGATCATTAACGTTCAGGCTGCCACAGTCCTCAGCTTGAGCATCTGGTAGAAGCCCTTGGGATCCAAGAAAGCAGTAGCTTGAGGGCACCAGAGGCTCTAGGGCCTCCGTAGACCTTGCAGAGTAGCAGGCAGACCCTGGGGACCTCAAGATTTCAGGGAGCTTTCTTTGTTCATTCTCCGGGCCCCGCATGCTCTGTGCAAGTTGGAATAAACTTCTGCAGTTGCGCCCTGAAGCCTGGGGCAGTGAGATTTCTACAGGATAATTTGATGAAGTAATATAATGGAGGATTTTGTTGGATCAATAGAAGGGTGGAAACGTTTAATATCAAGGCCATTTAAATCTTGATTGCAGTCATTTCTATGTTTTAAACCATTGCTTTAAATCAGATCGAGGCTTGGTAAATAGTCTGTGGAATTCTGCACCGTTACAAATTTAGATTAAACTGTGAGATGAACAAGATTATTAATGCTCTGTGTATGCATTTTCTTGCAGGGGGTAGGGGTATAAAGCTTATTTACATTTCAGAAAACTACTGTAGGCACAGAACAAAATCATGGCATTAAACCCCTATCCTACAAATATGCAAACAGGAGAACTTTTTACGCAAGGAGAGTTATACTACTCTTGCCAAAGTAATCATTTGTGTGTGTGTTGGCAAAGGAGAAAGATGAAATGTTATGAAAAACATTTCTATTTGAGCATACAGTCTATGCTTTTGAAATAAAATCATGTACATCTAAGTACAACTTAGACATCTAACAAATGTATTGTGAATTATTTCATGCTACTGGACTGATATTTTTAAACATAGGATCTTTTATTTCCTAAATCTGGTTTAGGAACCCATTGGGATGGGGTTTTCGAAACACCCGAGTGATTCAATTCTAGAATATGAATCCTATTGAATTGAAGCATTGGAGAACAGCCTGGTGAAAGCATGTCAGCTCTCCCCACTTGTGGAAGTTCAATCAATGGGAAGCTTCTGTTGGTTGCAAATAAAGCAGTGTCTGTTTGCTGATCAGTTTTGTGTTTGAGTTTGTGTAAGCATTTTGATGAAGCCCTGGTCGTCTCTCTATGGCAATTAAAATGTTGACTGGGAAGCTTCTTAGGAAAAAAACCCAAACACCACCTCCATATAAAGTATGAAATTCTAATAGAATTTAGGAAACTAAAAAGAAAAGGATTAAAAATAATGTATCAGGTGTCACAACCCAGTAATTTTTGTGCCTCGGCACTATGGAATTTCCTGGCCACATGAGAGCTCCTTTGCACGGCAGAGTGTTCTGCTGCAATTAAGAGCCTGCGTGCAGGAGAGTTCCCGCCAATTTGAAGTCTCCTTTGCAGGATGCATTTCTTCTTTGCAGCACAGAAATGCACGGTGCAAAGAGTTCCCGCTATTCGAATGTAAATTTGTGCCCCGCTATTGGCCAGTGCTAAATTATTCACACGTGGCGGCTAGTAATTGGCTCGCTGGCCGTTTAAAATTCCGCGCAACTTCCACCCAAGTCGAAGAGCTTTGAGCACGCTGCAGAGTGCCTCTGAAGTTATCTGACTTGCGGCTGCCAATCGATAGACTGATCACCTATCGATCTTTCTTCCCGTCACCCAGGGCAACCCCGACGTACCCCTTTCCCCGCCAGCTTTGAATTGCGGACGGATTAACTGGCTTGGGCCCCGCCAGCTGGAACAACTCGTGTGGTTGTTCCGACGACCGGACCACCTGCGTCGTGATTGCAAGCGGCGTGAGTAAAGTTTTTTACAACTAATAAGTTGTGTCTGCCTCTCCATTCACCAGCCCGCCCTAACATACAACCAATTTCTAACGCAACTCAAGTCAGCTCTGGCTGTCTGAGACATCAGTATTTAAAAATCTAGAGCAGGTAGAAAATAAAGGAATAACAGGAAAAAAATTCTCATTTAAATCTGAATCTGAAAATTGCCTTTTCTTTTCCTTTTTATTATCAGTCAGTAAATATTCTTAAAATTAGGTCCTCTGTCCACAGGCAAGTCCCCTGACTGTGATGCCCCTGAGCTAGTTTATACTCAGCCCTGTTCAGTGCAACCTGCCCCAGTGATCTCCAGTTTCTTAGGAGGCTGCAGGTTTGTTTTCAGTGTATGGCATAGGGTAGTTATAGGACTGGGGGAGGCTCTGAAGGGAGGTAGATTTCTTCCCCTAGGAGGAATGTACCTTTCCCCCTCCTCAGTAGGGACAAAGCCAGAGGTGATTTTACATTGTAAAATCTTACAATGTTCTCCCTGTAATTGATCCAATTCCTTTATTATATAATCAACCATAGACTATAATAATGGAAGGAAATAAAATAATCCATTAAATTATGTATAACAAGAACCAGTAACACATGGTAGGGATTACTGTATACGGTATATCATTTCTTATAATATATGCATTTCTTATATAATGTATTCTCGCACTGCATTGACTATAGCAGTCCATGAAAACACAGGGCTCTAAATATGGTCAGTCTGACCTAAAATACTAGATAAGGAGACAGATTCAGAGATGCTAGTACCTCCCAGGAAAATAGGTGACAATTTTCGAATTTGGAGATAAAAACACACAACACTAGAGCGTGAATTCCTACCTGGTAGCTCTGGGGTAGTGTCCTCGCTGGTAGCTGCAGTGGTTTGACTACCAAGTGGTCACACATCACAAGGCTGTAGGTTTGGTCACGCTCCCTCTGTTTTCCATACTCTTCCCCCTCCAGCTGGTCTGGTTCCTCTATGGTCAGCTGTTTGATCCTGTTCCAGGATGTTCCCCTGTTGCTGTTTCTGAGCCTGTGAGATTTATGCTTACAGGCCAGGTCAGGTCAGAGCCGGATTGTGCTCATCAAAAAGTCCCAGATCTCCTTTGTGTTACTTATCTTTTCTTCCTGCGTGTAAAATACAGCTATTAGTTCTATAATGTTTCCCAGTTACCTATTTGGCCAAAAGTTTCTATGCTCAGCAGTTTTGCTGCCCTCAGGACAGATGTTTTGCATCAGTCCTTCCCCGAACTGGGTGATGCTGCCTTGACAGAAGCTTTGCACATAATCAATAATACCATATTTACCCAAATCCAGGACAACATCAAATTTAAGACGACCTCTCAATAATTAGATTCTATCCATGGAGAATTATAACAAATTTATAGTTGTCCATGTATAGAATGTTCTATATATAAAACATCCAATTTTTGGAGAGTCATCTGAAATTCAACCCCCACACCACCCATGGCCACTTGTCCCACACCAGTGTCTCCTCGCTCCCCACCCCATTGCTTTCCCTGCTGCAGCAGTAGTTCTGGGAGGGCAATTATATGGTAGACTATGCCAACACCCTTTTCTTTGGATTTGGGGCATGTCCTGCCTTTGTTTACCTTTCAAATAGCAAAGCCATTTGCCAACACAACCGGTAACTCACCCCATTGTTGGTCTAGCTTCTCCTCCCCCTCCCCCCTTCCTGTTAAACCAACCACTGCACACAACCCTGGATACAGCCCTAAGATAGGCGATTTTTTAAACTTTACATTATTTTGCTGATGTCTGCCCTGGTCAACAGGAAGCATCAACCAACACAAGAAACACTTTTGTTCTGCCCATGTCTTTGGCCTTTCTCTGGGCAGCTGCTTTTTGCTAAGGAACCACTGCATGGGCGTTTCACCAGGACACAACACACTGCAATTTATTTTTACAGTTTTATAGCAGTCACCTTGAGAGCTCCTGCAGGGACCTGACCAGATTTCACTTGGGGAGGCAAGACTGAGAAAGGGAGATTTATTTTAGATGGGCCAAACCCACAAGGGTCAGGGATTTAGGTTTCTCTGCCTGTGGTATTCTGAGGGTGGCTGTATTTTCATTAAGGGGAGAAGCTTTTTGTATAAAGCTCAGCGTTGGTCAGGAGAATATGTAGTTATTGAAGTCAGGGCCTGTGTTTGAATTACTGGGGGATCTCTTCCTCCTCCTGAAGCGTTTGGACCAGTGAGTACTGTGGTCTGGGTGGCAACTGGCTCTTACCTTCAAAAATGTAATTACACCCTTCTGGGTCCAAACTAGTGTTTCATTCATTATTACTGTTTTCATTCTACCACCACTTCATTACAGGGTAGAGATTTGGGTCAGGGTCCCATATGCGTTTTTTGACTGTGTATACTAGGGTTGATACCGCTTTTAGTTGCTGTTGCAGCTTTGCAATTGGCACCTGGTATTCAGTATGATTATATTCCACATATTTTGGGGATTCCAACACTACCTAAACAGCAGCCTGGGTTTCTGGCACTTCCCCCCACCAGGCCTTAGGCTGTAAAAAAAAAAAAGCTTTTTATCTCTGCTTTTAACTGGGAACTTTTAGTTTGAACAGCAGTAAGACTTAGGGCACATTTTATAGAGTTTACTTGCAAGGCTGTGTTCTCCCTCTAGCAAGCTAGTTCTGCTGGCAATTTGCCAATCATTATAGCAAGTCAGCCATGTGTTGCTGAGTGTTAATTAGCTGTTGATCTAAATTAACCAATATTTGCTGAGAATTATCCAGTTGCTGCTACAAGTTTCAGAGTTTTCTTTTTAGAAGCAGGTCCCAGCTGCTTTATTTTTGTGTAGCCATTACAAACCTTGCAGTGCTACATTTTTTTTTTGGCTGTAGGTTTGGTTTTAGTCTCTTTTTCAGTCCCCTAGATTCATTTACTCCATCAATCACGTAGCTGACAAAATGCATTTGCGGTGTCAAAATCAATGTGTTCCCAAATTAAAGTAGGGCTTAAATTTTCCAGCTCCAACAATTTTAAATTCTTAGCTATTGAATCAACAGCCATTATAGCCCACCAAGGTAGGGACACCATCCCACACAGGAGCCACCCTTACAGATAAACTTCTGGAACCCAGGAAGAAAGGTTGTGACCCTTTAATTGCCTACTCACTATATAAACCTATGGCTCTCTCTCAAGCCCATCCAGGGTCAACAATTTGTTATTCCAAAATCTTGGACTGGGGAACTAGAGGGCTGCTGAGACAAAGAGTGCTCAGGAGGCAGGAGGTTACACCCCACTAAGGTAGGTTTATTCAGCAGGTGGCACATATTCCCATACCTAGAAATGCAATAGTTACCTTACAGCAAGTCTTGCTCCCTGGCCTATTGATCAGGCAGTCCAGAGTCTCACTGGGACATTCAGGGGCATAGTCTAGTAGTCCAGCAGTCTATTTGTCCAACAACTCTTTTCCCCTAAACTTTTTTTTACTGCCTTTTGTTACTTGCATATTCATTATTTTTACCACAACTACTGCAACTGGCCCTTTATAGGTTATTTGATTCACTGAGTTTTACTATCAGGTATTTTTCTAAAGCCTTATAAAAGCCTCATAAAAATTTGAAGGTCTATTGAAGAAAGGAAGTTGGGCCAAGGCTTTTTTGTGAAATCTCCAGGCCATTCAATTTGCCCTTTGAAGCATATTACCTTTCTAACCATCCAGGAGATTCTTCAGGTCCATTTAAGCCACCCAAGTACAGGACAGCCTTCGTTATCCAAAATGCTTTGGAAAGCCTTTGGGGTGGCCGAATATATTTGGGTCCAACACAGAGCAGTGAGAGCCCAGACCTGATACCTTAAGTGCCTCGGTAGCTCCAAATCCCCAGCCTGGGTTAGAACTGATCCATCTTTTCCTCCGTAGACCTTCTGATAACCCTCAGAGCCCAGTAACCTCCCACATCCCTCACCACCAGGTAACATCTCCCCAAGGTGAATCCCTCACAGCCAAACACACACAACAGCATCAGAGCTCAGTATTGCTGGGCAGATGCTGCATGGGTCTGCTCATCTAGCACATTTTGATTCTCAGAAACAGCATGCCACATCTGGATCGAGGCACATTCCCTAAAAGGGAAAGGAGGAAACTAGAGGATCAGGACAGAGCTCAGCCCTGCAAGAGGGCTGAATGAATGTATAATACAGCCCCTGTTGTGCCTAGCTGTGCAAAGCTATAACTGCAGGTCTCCGCTGCAGAGCAGGAATTTCCATGGACAGGGTGGATCTAAAGTGACAAATGTCTGAGACATAACAGATACTCCTGGCTAAGCCAGAGGAGAAAATATGTAGATTTGCTTGAAGAAATACGAGAAATTTTCATGCATTTTAGCTGTTAATTCACTGCCTGTTCTGGGAAAAGCAACATGGCAATTGAGCCAGTGGCAGTTCAGATTTTCCTACAGCTGTAGGAACATTGTCTTTCTTTCCAGAATATGCAAAGCTCTTGGATCCTGAGGTGGGTCATCAAGTACCAAGCAGCAGCTCTCCTAGGCTGGAGACAGGTGTTGCCTTTGCTTGCAATCAGCCATGTCGTAATATGCTGTGGCACTACCGAGCCATTTTGGTCACTGCCAGCAGCCCACAGTCTCCAGACATCAACTGCAAAAAGGTGACAGGCACATAGATTTCATAGATGTTTGGGTCGGAAAGGATCTTTTAGATCATCGAGTCCGACCCCCTGCCCCAGGCAGGAAAGGGTGCTGGGGTCAGATGACCCCAGCCAGGTTTTGTTCAATCTCCTCTTAAATCCCTCCAAGGAGGTATTGTTAACTACTAAGCAGTTGTGGTGCAACAAAGGGCACATGACTTCTGAGGACAGGCTGAAGGAACTGGGCTTATTTAGTCTAGAGAAGATGGAGGAGATTTAATAGCAGCCTTCAACTACCTGAAAGGGGGAGTATTAAAGAGGATGGAGCTGGACTGTTCTCAGTGGGGCAGATGACGAAACAAGGAGCAACAGTCTCAAGTTGCAGCAAGGGAAGTTTAGGTTAGATATTAGGAAGAATATTGTCACTAGGAGGGTAGTAAAAACACTGGAACAAGCTAACCAGAGAGGTTGTGTACTGTCCATCCTTGAAGGCATTCAAGACCTGGCTAGATAAAGCCTCGTCTGGGATGATCTAGTTGGGGCAGGTCTTACTTGGAGCCGGAGGCTGGACTAGATAACTTCCTGATGTGCCTTCGAACCCTAATTTTCTGTGATTCTAGAGGGCTACCATTCTGTTCACTTGGCTTCTGTGCCACCATAAAAATTTATTATGGTGGCACAACATCTCTATCTGCAGCTCTAGATACTCGCCTTTAAACACAATTCTCTCCTCTCAGGTCCTCAGAACAAAGGCATCCCATCAAAGGTTTCATGGCCCAAATACCGTACAGAACTTGAACTCATAGAAAACCCTCTGACACCCTTTCGAGTGATATTAGCTCATGGAATGATGCCAGTATTATTTATGGGGATTTCCTGCAAGAGGGCTTCCCTGTACAGGAAAAGCAATTGTAGCAGTTGCTCAAGATTTACTCCACATGTGGCAATTCTGTTCGGAGTCCAAGCCAAGGCCAAAAGAAGTCCAAATAAATAAATTAAGAGTAGCAGACTGCAGAGTACTCAAACTCGATTATAAAACTTCATACTTTAATAACCATAAACTGAGGCTCCCACAAAAACATGGGAGGACTCTTAAAAAAAAAAAAAAATGAATAAAGTAGCGTAAGTTGAGCTAAAGATCCATGTTTAAAGCATGGACACAGTTGCACCATTCAGGATCAAATGACGAACTCAAAAATTATGCTAAATTGTACTTTCACGTCATCATTTCCAAGAATCACGACAGACTGCCCTACTGCTCATTTCTTCTGTTCCATAGCTTTTCTCTATTGCTCTGCACCCTCCATCTCTGCCCCTGCTTCCCAAATATTCTCTTCTCCCAAAGTCTCCTCATTGGGCTCAGCAGAACTGCAGCCTTCCAGGACCACAGAGGGGATGGAAAACAAGCACGCCCAAGACCACGCGAGGCAATTCTGAATATCTTGCCTGCTCTTTATGATGTAATGGTGAGGAGCCATTGCAAGAATTTAGCCTCCAGGGTGATAGAGCAGGGAACCACAGATTAGATAAGAAATCTGATGATGGACAGAGGCTCTCCCAAGTCACAGATGGAAAGGACAGAAAATACAAAAATCTCATTACCTGGGCACTGAAGACAGTTGATCGCTCAGGGGTGGAGTCTGAGCCAGGATCCCCCAACCCAGAACCAGGGGAGCATTCTCTCCCCAGTGAATGAGGCAGGGGGAAAAGAGAAGATCCAGGCCTTGGTATCAGCATCAAAAAATGCCACCTGCCCCTCTTCACTGTTGAGATACACCCGGATCCTCTTGGGGATGCAGCGCAGGGACAGGAGGGTTGAATCAGGGGCAGTGAGAGCCCTGAGCTGATCCAGCGATCTCTGCACGGCCCAGATTCCATCATCAGGGTTAAGACTGATCCAACCCTTCCTCCTCAAAGACTCTCTGGCAACCCCCAAAGCCCAGATACTTCCCTCCCCCACCTCCACCTCCCAGTAATGTCTCCCAGTGGCAAATCCTTCATGGCCCAGCACGCAGGGCACAGAGTCGAATCTCTGGGGGGTGTCAGGCAGATGATGCCGCGCGACTGCCCATCTCACGTTTTTCCGATCTTCAGAAATGACGAGGTGAGAGTGAGCAGTGTCTGGATTAAGAGTCACTTTCACTGCGGGGAGAGAGAGCATCAGGGTCAGAGCTGAGCCCTGGGGGAGGCTGGGGCCATTTGTCCCTACCAGCCCTGTGCCGGCTGGACACTCCTTGATCCCTGCCTCTTGGGACTGTGGCCTTGGGGAACTGCCTCTGTGCTGGAGCCAGGCAGGGATGTCACTTCAGCCCCCTCTCCCATACCTCCCTCCCCTTCTGCATGTCCCCCCTGTTGGTACTGCCCCACTCTCAACAGCAGAGATGGGGCAGAGGGGCAAGCAGGAGTGGGGCTGGAAACAAGGCAGCATCAAAGGTCAGGGGGCTGTTGGGGAGATACCCCGAATCAGAGGGAAGGAGGCAGTAGTGTTGGGGACAGAACACCAGGCCAGGGCCAGGAACAGGCAGAGGAAGGGCTAGGATTAAATGAGAGGAGAGATCCTCTCCCTGCCTGTGGGGAAGGGGGAGATGGGCACTGCAGGAGAGGACACACGGCCCATGAGGATCGGGAGAGGTGGAGGAGGCAGTAACTAAATGGACAACCCCTGCCCCCCACCTCGCCAGCAGAGCCAGGGTGATGGGAAGCCTGGATAGGGACTTGGGGGGAAACAAAACATAAGACTCATGGAGGGAGAAAGGCAGGCTTGATCTCCACACTGAGGTCATGAGGTCAGATCAAGATTTTTCTGATAAGACAGGTGACAACCAGAGAAATGTCAGCCCAGCCCCTCCCATCTCTCCTCCTGCAGAATGATTTACCTGCTTTCTGCTGCTTGTTCATCAAAACATCTAGAGACGAAAAAAGAAAATATTTCATCTTACCAGACTTTTGTCTAATACTTGACTTGAATAATTGATCAGTTCTTATTGTGGGAGACCAAAGGGAGGGGACGCAGATTGACAGAAATAAATTTTGAAGCATGCAACATGTGAAGTTCTCCCATATGCAAGGGATCTAGCATGAGGCATCTGCTCCACTGCACTCAAGACAGACAAGTACATGCGCATCCAAGCAGGTATTTAGACTTGTTGGACTCTCTGCAAAGGAGAGTTTCAAGAATATTTTGACTGGAAATAAACATGACTAAGAAGAGGTCAGGAAACACTTGGCATCACCACGAAGCTTAAAATACATCCAAATTAGAAGGGACTTAGAACACACAACTGTGACAGAATCGGGCCCTGGCAGACATAACATTTGTGGTGGTCTATATGCTAATTTCCCCATCACAAAAAGCTACTGGTCAGATGTTCAAGCTGTTTGGGATAAAAAATAAATAAATAAATAAGTAAATGGTGAATCTGATCCCCAAATGGCAGCTCTGCAATAAAAATGCAATAAGAATGGCAACTTCTGTGTTGCAGCCAGATTTTCCACAAATGTAAGATTTGAGCAGGTTTCCTGTCCACCAATATCCCACAGCCCCCCACCAATTCTTCCTGTCCCAACTCCTCTGATCACTGGAGGTTTGTAGGGAGCCTTACACCATGGCTTCCTGGTAGCCAGGGTGATGAGCTGCCTGCAACCCTGGCACGCTAAAAGGGCTGCTGGTGCTTGAACACCTGGTGCCTAAAGAAGGGTGCTTGTTCCCAAAAGCTTGCAAAGAACATTTTCCCACCTATTTTACTTGGTCTAATAAAAGGATATCACATCTACCCAAAGAACCTTGCCTGCCTATGTCCTTAGACCAACACGGCTACAACCAACAACCTAGTAGCTCATTACTAATGAGAGTACTGGGCACTTTAAAGAGCTCCAAAGCAGCCCAGGAGCCAGGATCTCTTAAGGGCTTGCAAGCCTGCACAGCTCACTAGGCAGGGAGAGCTGTAAAGCAGCCCTCTATTTGAAGAATGTGCCTTTGTGCCAACTCTGTTGCACTCCAGCCAGGGGAGTGTGGAACACTTGCTACCCATAGCATTTTAATTTATTTTATGGTGCTACACAATTCATAGGCAGACAAGGTTCCTTGGGTGAATTTGATATCTTTTATTAGATCAACCCAAATGGTTGGAGAATGGTTATTCATAGGCATTTGCAAAGTCAGCATGCCCATGTTGCAGTCTCGGCAGCACTCCATGGTAATCATGCAAGGCATTGCTAACCTTTGAAGAAGAATGAGCATGTCCTTCACTAGGCCAGACTCAGGCTGGAGTCACAGGGGTAATTCCACATACAGTACATGACAGAGCCCTGTCAGATAATATGCTCTCTCTTGCACCTCAGGCAACCCCAGCCAGAGTCTGGCCTGCTGAAGGACATGCTCGTTATTGTTCAGAGGCTAGCAATGCCTTGCAGGATTACCATGGAGAGCTGTCAAGACTGCAACACTGACACACTCACTTTGCAGATATGTCACTGGTAACCATGCAGTGAGCCCTGGACAGGACTGTCAATTTTCCAAGTATGGTTTCTTACTCAAACACTTACAAGGTCTTGAAAAATTTCTCATCCCTTCTCCTGTTCCAAAAGTGCAGATGTATTTCTCATGCTTTTAACTTTGGCTATTTATCCTCTTCTAGTCATGGGTGCTTCTAAGGGCACCTTTCAGCTTAAACATGCTTTTCATCCAGGCCATAAATGTCAAAGGCCACCCACCACTGGCACTTGCTTGGTCTTCAGGAAGTTGTCGACTTTTCTTTGCAGCCAAAAGCAAGACACTAATTATGCAGGTGGTAGAACCACCTCTAAATTGCTAGTCCCCCCCCATCAACTTGAGCAGTGCAAATAGGGCAGCTGAAGCCAGACAAAATTACAATAAGGAGTGGACTTTTTACTTTCATTTGGTCTGAAGATTTATTACTTTTGTTTCCTACCCAAAAGTAAGTTATTTCCCTCCATCTGAGCAGTCTGTTGCTTATTTATTTCTTCATTCTTAGAGTTTCTAAAATTTACACCGATTATTTGTCTGGTGCTTAACCTGAAGTTTCAAACTCTGCTCTGTCTTTTCACCTTTCCTTCCAAACTCCCTCATTTGCCCATCTGCTTGTTTTTCCTCCCAAACCCTTGCACTGCACTGTCCAATTGAAAAAAAAAAGTTCCCAGCTTAATAACAATTAATTCCCACAAAGATGCCAACAGTCTGTGCCCAGGCTGCACATGTCTGAGGCCAAAGAGCTGTGGCCTGGAAGAATGAAGGGCAGAAGCCAACATACAAGGCCTCACATCTGAACCTTCTTACTTCCCCCACTTGCATCTAGGGGACACATGACTGACCTACACATACTATAAATTCCTTTCCTGCAGCTAGGACAAACCTGTTTTCTAATAGCTAGGTATCACTTGGCATGACTGATGTTACTTGCAAGTGGCTGGCATGTCCCCCTATGATATTAGGAACTGCCACTGTCACTGGACAGTTGATCAGCCAGTGCTTAACTGGTTGGTCACTGACCTATACTTGTCTGGGTTGCCACTGTGTAGCAACTTCTAGGGTTTCCTAGAATGGCTCTTCACTGGCACCAAGGTGGGGAGCCAAAATGGGGAATCCCTGCCATACTAGGCTTTGGCCAAGAAAAAAAAAAGTGAAGTATGGCAGACAACCAAAACGACTTCCTGGAGAACTAGGGAGGCCACAGCAGCACATAATGGTGACAACATCAGCACGCAGGAACACTGAGCTTGCATGAGCCAAAACCAGACTGGTCTCCAGGATGTAAGGAACCATGAGATGCGTCTTGCAGTATGTGGGTGGGTTTAGCATGGCAGTATCAATAACTCAAAGGCAGGCAACTCCATCTGCAGCAGTCAGCAAGGAACAGGTCAGAGCATGGCACCCTCAGAAGGGGCACAACTGCTTTACAGTCAAATGTGTCCTGCATTAACTACTGAAGAGCCAGATCCCAGTTCCTTCCATGGGTCATAGAGACAGGCCTTAGTTTCCCTCCCTGGACCCCTCTTTGGTACCTTGCATGATTCTCAGAGCCTTGTTTCCAACCACCTCTCTCTGAGAGAGTTTCTGGAGTCTGCGTTCGAATTCAGGAGAAACTTCCACTGGCTGCTGAATTTTCCCCTTCTCACACCTAGAGAGAGGAAGAGGAGCACCTAATTAAAAGTGTTCTATTGCAAGTTATCACTTGTTACATCATTATCATTTCATAGGAGTGTCCCATTTGGGAAACCAACTGGTGGGAGGTGCCAGGACATGCAATATATCTAAACATCTCCAAGGGTAGAGTCCAGGCTAAGACAGTACAAGGTTCCTCAAATTGACACAGTAAATTAATTAATTAATTCTATCCCACTAATTTTTTTTTTTTTTTTTTTGGAAAGAGAGACTGTATGTAGCAGAAAGGGATTAGACAGAAAAGCCAAGAAATGACAGTGACAGTGCTAGTGTCTGTGGAGGTAGAAATTTGTCTCCATCTATTTGTGATGACAGAAGTCACAGGGAAGTCACTAGCTAGACTTCCCCACCCCTGCGTAGGGCCCAGGTGCGGACATTTAACAGAAGACACTGCCTCACACTGTGCTGTAGAGCTTGGGGAAGTAAGGATGTAACATGGTGTCCAAATCCCAACCCAGTGCATTGAAGTGTAAGGGCATGTACCTGCTCAAGGTGTTTCTGATGTCCTAGAGGAGAGAAAGAACAAGAAGTTCAGTGAAAAGTAGCAAGATGAGATGGCCATCTCTACAGTACAAAGAGCTTGGAGTTTGGCCACAGTGTGGTCTTGGCTGGGAAAGCAACTCACAAACCTAGGGCGCCTGTAGACATGCTGGGAAGCTGTTCCAATGTGCTGTAATTACAGCACATCAGAACAGACTTGATTAATAATGCCTCTGCATCTTGTGCACCAGCATCTCCATGCTTGAAAATGGTGGTGGGGGCGCTTTAACTAAAGCTCATTGAACGAGCTTTAGTTAAAAAGCTCTCCTGCTGCTGTTTTGAAGTGCAAGGATTCCGACACAAGATGCTGCAGGCACTCAAATTAAAATCGCCCCCACCCTCACCGCACACATAAAAGTGCCCCTAGATAAGAGATAGCACTCAACCAAACAAATCTGATCTATACTGAGGAAAGACTCTTCCCAAATACTGGGAGTCTTGTCACTGCTAATGCTACAATTCATGAGCCTAAGATAAAAGGCCAATCTGAAGGCTTAAAAAATAACATTCAATCTATGACTTATGGGCCAGAGCTAACCATTTCGTTTGAGGCTCCCTTATCCATGACCATTCCTGTTGCATGTATTGTGGCTACGCTGGCTGCAGAGCTGCCCTGCTACTGGGGAGTTCCCCAAGCCACATGACGTAGATCCAGCACACAGGTTTGGTCATCAGGTGTGATCCAGCTGTGTACTGATCCCATGCACTGGCCAAACGCAGCCCCCAAAACTAGATGCGTTGGGTTAAAGAAATGGAGAACTTGCATGTAAACCACACAAGAGTGAATTGCTTTTCACTCAAGACACCCAAAGAGGGTGATGTTGAGTTTTGAATTCTGGGCTCCTCACCTTAAAATTATCTCCTACCTGCAGAAATTCACTTGCTGGGTGCTGGCATTTCTGCTCCACCTCCTTGATCAGGTTATTGAGATAGGAAATCTCCTTGGAGAGTTTGGTGACATTTTCTTTCTGCAGTTTCTGAAGCTCCTTGTCCAGCTCTGTTAGTTGGGCCAGTAGGAACTGCTCTTGTTCCTGCAGAAACTTGTGAAAAGCCTCAAATTTGGATGCAATTCTCTTCTTCTGAGTTTCTATCTTCTCCTGCAAGAAACAGATAGCCAGGGAAGAGGCAAGATGTCCCCTGTCTCTGTGGGCCCATTTCACAGAGTCCTGTGTGCAGGTGGGAAAATTCCATTGCAACCCTAGAAAATTCAGCACTTGATATTTTGACAGAAATTTCCCCCCTCTGATGAGAAAGAAAGGTGTTATAGTAGGGGTGCAGCAATAGAGATTTTCTTGGCCGATGCACTGATTATTAGCCAACCACATTGGCAAGGATGATCCAATAACCGATATTTAGTAACAATGCAAGGCATTTTAAACTACTATAAATGCACCTTTTTTGGGTGCACTCCAGCAGCCTCCTGCATCTCATGTATCAGTGTTCCCATGCTTAAAAATGGTGGCCACCATTTTTAAGCGGGTGGACACTGACACGTGAGACATGGCAGCATTTTAATTAGAGTGACTTCTGGCGCCAGTCTAATTAAAGCCCCCCCCACCCCTGGAGGACATGCAGAAGTGCCTGCGCCAACAGCAGCAGGTGGGCTAGCTTAGCAGAGCTTGCGGCTGGCTGTGCAGAGCTCTTCAGCCCCTGTTGTTCCACATGATGACCATGAACCCCAAACGGTGGGTAGCTGCCTGAGCCTGCCCAGCAGGGCAGAGGGGGAAGGTGTGAGCCTTCCTGCGTGCCCGGGGCTGGGTGGTCTCTGGGCCTGGCTCCCTGCTCTCCCCGTTCTGCATGGGGCAGGGTCACGGGACCATTCCAGGCCTGGAGAAACCAGGCTGCACCTCCCCTGCAGCTGGGCCCCAGGTCCCGGGAGCTGAACTCCAGCAAGGGGAATGGCCCCTTCTCCTCCTGGTGCTGCCACTGCCAGGGGCAGGGCAAGCCCCTGTGCCCTTCAGGTGAGGCTGAATGGACCCAGCCCCGATCCCGGGAAGGGAAGAGAAGAACCTGGCTGGGTTGAGGATTTGGAGGAGGACTCCCCCGCACTACACACAGCAGGGAGGGGGGTGCTGCCTTGGCCCCTGCCAGGGTCTGCTCTTGACCCCTGGGGCATGGACCCCTGGCACTGCAGGCTGAGCTATACTGGGCTAGGCTGGGCAACTCCACCCACCCCTCCCTGCCCCAGTCACATCTGTGCAGCGTTCACCACCTTTTACAGTGCCCATCCTGACCCCAGCCCACGCTCTGCACCATGCCAGCACCCAGGACACCACACCAGCTGCTGCATACCAATCCAGCCCAGCCCACTGGTGAGGGGATGGGGGTGAAGATGGAAAATGGTTCGGGCCCCTGTATCTGGATTGGGCCCTCCATGTTCACAGTCACCTCGGGAAATGGGAGGGAAACCAGGTGTCTCGAGGCCCCACCCCATGGACAAAAGGGAACCCAGGCATCTAGGGTCCCGGCCAGAAGACACAATTAATCGGTAAACATTATCGGCTACAACAGCCAAAAGAAGCTACCAGCCAATAATGTCATTTCCCTTTCATCAGCACCAGTCTGATAGGCAACCAATATATTGGTGCACCTCTGTTTTCTAAAGCTTGCCCATTACCCCGTTTTTCTAGTTGAGGCATCTTCCTTCCTCCGCCCTCCCAACATTTGTCTGTGATGTGACAATGAGCTATGGCAATCCCATCCTTTCCAATAGAAAAGGCACAACTCAGAGCTAAGGTGGCTGAAACTTTCTGAGCGACTGCAAGGTAGAAATAAAATGCAACCAAATACAATTAAAGTCTTAATACAATAAAGCCTTTGCTGGTAAGGTCCTGAGGTTCACATAAGATGGGGAAGCGCCCTATGCACTATATTACACTGAACTGAAATCAGTCTCCTAAAGTATATGAAGTCCTCCTTTATGAGAGGAAGGTAGCCAGTCACCACCTCGCACCCTCCAAAATGTTCATCTTTGGACAGATTCAGAACTATGAAAAATTAAATACAATTCAACTACAAGGAGCTGAAATCCTGGATAACAAGGCAATGCAGTACTGGGACCTTACCTCCCTCCCCGCCCAGCCACAATGCCTGAACGCTGCTCCCTTCCACTTGCAAGGCTGTTACCATGCAGCTTCAGCTCTACAAGCTCCAGGTGCAGCATGGTCCTAGGGCATCCATTAGTATTTGCCCTGACACACAGCCCTGGTGAGGGGTCAGAAAGGCCCTTTAGTAAATTGTAAAGTTTCATACAGACAGATCCCAGCCACTGGAAATCCAACTGGATAAAATGAGTTTGAGCCTGATCAATTCCACAGGTCGAATCCCAAGTGGGGGGAATAAAAAACATAACAAGAGGGGAATTCCCTGTATTAGCATCCCCACCTGAAATTTCTTCTTCAAAGGGTCTAAAATGTGCACCAGCAACCCTGTGGCAGGCCCTCATGAGATGCAGGAATTGAAAAAAACAGTTGTTGTAAGATCCAAATTGGAGTCTGCAAGTGTGATAGTGACTCTCCGCAGACAAACTTAGCTGATCAGTGATCATTCGCAGAGTGCAGGGCTCCTCCAAAAATATTCAGAAACAGGCAGCGTGGGCAGGTACAGACTGAGGACAACAGTGAGCACAGGCCAAGGAGGCAATACCAGAGGCATTTGGGGAGGGTACAGAAGTCCCCACTTCTCCTAGCCAGGACCTGACCATGCCATTTCTGCAAGCCCCGAGCAAGAGAGAGACTGGGGATGCAGCTCTGATGGAGGAGAGGAAGCAGAGCCACAAGCCCCCTGGGCCAAGATTTTTCCCTGTAGTCCCCAGTACTGCTGAGAACTCTTTGGGGTTCTCCTCTGGGGCACAGCAAGGAGACATGGGCTTGATCCAGGCCACAGAGAGGCAAGCAAAGGCAAACAATCCTAGACACCCAGACCCTTTCCTCCACACTGCCAGTGGGAACCTCCCTGCTTTCCCCTTTCTTCTTGACCCTGCTGAGGAAGGAGAGACACCTACCAGGTACCTCCAGAACTTCCCTTCTGTTGATGTTTGAATCCGCAGGAGTTTCTCTCTCTCTTCCTTCAGAGTCTGCAGTCGGTCCTGCACTTGTTCCTATGCAAAGAGTAAGGAATTTCATTTGGGAGTTGAGGAGCAGCTGCACTGTCACAGGCTCAGAGCAGACACTTATCTGGTTCAGAGCGGGCTGGAACTCTTCCCAGCTGTTGCAACTCAGCAGGAGGTGATGACTGCACCTGCCTGAAGCCCAGTGTGCAAGCCTGCTGGGAGGTGCAATGTGAGGACAGGGGCTGGGAAGGGGAGGGTAGGTTTTTCCTGTGTCTGGGAGGGTCAGGAGGGCTAACACCTTCCAGACTGTTAAGAGACAGAGTTTAGCCCAGTGATTCTCAACCTGTTTAGACTCACAGCACCCTTTGGAAAATGCCAAGTTTTCACTCATTTTTTGGACCCAGGACAAATAACAGAGCAATTTTTCAGTTGCAAGGAATTCAGAAAGTTCATAGCATTAAAAACATTCTGACCTCTGGTGAGCTCCTACATAAAACCTCTGGATATATGTTGTGAATCACCTAACACTGCTAACCTTGTGACACACCGCAGCACCTTGGAAAAGATCTCATGGCACCCTGCCAGTCACTGCTCTAGCCCCTCAGCAGAAGCACCGTCCTCTCTGCAAGAGCACTGCCTGCTGCTGGGGTCATTGCCAAGGAGAGAAGGGGTCAGGTGTTGCTTGTGCATCTAAATCTGCCCCTGTACCTGCTCCTTGAGGAACATCTTGGTCAAGGTTGAAATTAATCCAGAGACAGCAGGGACAAAAGTGGAATAGTTTAATCAAAGACATGATTGGTTACTACTTTCTTGGCCACTTTCTGGGTTTTTTTAATTGTGCAGTTGGTACAGCAAAAATAAAAACTATAAAGACAAGAAATGGCATCACCACATAACAAAAAAAAAAAGGGGGGGGGGGCCCTCACTCTCCCATTAGGCTGAAAGCAAACACCTGCATGTCTAGCATGACAATTCTTGTGGAGAAAAAGTAATTAAGAAAAATCAGAATGAAATGAGTTCAGGAAAAATAACTTCGAAGAGGTCACAGTCCAGAAATATGCAACAAACATCCAGGCTACATCCCAATGGTTTGAAATTCAGCCTTGGAAATTCATGGCCAGCAGTGCCTTACCATGTACTCCTGCGCAGCCTCCTCAATAGGAACCACATTGTGAGCTCGGTGAGTCTTGGATCGATCGCACACCACGCAGATTGGAGCTTGATCCTCCTCACAGAAGAGTTTCAGGGGTTCCCCGTGTTTTGTACACAGTGCCTCCCCACCTCCTGCTCCTTTTGCTGGCTGGGAACTCAGCTGTTTGGCAATTTCTGCCACTCTTGCCAGCTCCCGGTTGGGCCTGAAGTTTGTTTTTGGGGCAGCTTCTCTGCACTGAGGGCAAAAGAAGATGGTGCCTGATCCCTCCCAGCACTGGACAATGCAGGCTCTGCAAAAATTGTGCCCACAATGGATAGACACTGGGTCTTTGAAAAGATCCAGACAGATGGAACAGGAAAGTTCATCTTGCAGATTTGCTGCCAGGGTCTCTGCAGCCATGGCTCCCAGCAGCTGGTAAGTAGGGAGTAGTTTTGTTTTTCTGTGCACTGGAGTAAGAAGGGGCCTTTCCCTTCCTGGTCCTTTTCTCACTGGTAGGAACTGAACCTGAGTCCCCGCCCCTGCCTAAGGCCCAGGTGTGACCCTTCCTGTGCAGGAATCAGAAATTACTCCATAGGGGAGGAGCTAGGATGGGACTGGGGGAAATCTAGGAATTTGTTCCTTGTTCTCTAAGTTCATACCAAGGCTTCTTGACCCTAAGACTGAGAAATTTCTGCAGAATTCAAAGAGTGCCAAGAGGATTTGGGAACATGCAGCAATGGTTTGGGTGCTTCCTATCCCATTCAACCCAGGGAGGTGAAGGGAAATTCAGCCATATGAGGAAACAGCCTTGATTGGTGACGATGATATGCAGCTGAGATGCAGCTGCAGGGGCTGTCTTATACCAGGCTCTCATGCATGGATCTCTGTTCCCTTCCAGTCCTTGTTTCTCAGCATCTCAAAGCAGAGCTTGATGGGTTAAGTCTCCTACTTACAGCCATGGTCTGTCCAGCTCAGTGCTACCACATGGCTGCCTGGGTCTGCAGCATTGTACTGGCAATTTAAAGCAATGCATGTTTCAACTCCCTCTGTGTACAAGTGGTCTAGAACTTGGGTCCTTACGTGAACACCCCAAACCCTAAGCTTTTGGCCTGAAGCACAGATGCATCTTCCTTCTCCTAGTTTCTGATAGGCCATTCTTTTGGAACTAGCTCAAATCAGGGGGTCATTTTTCTTCCCCTCTGTAGAATCATAGAAAACTAGGGTTGGGAGGGACCTCTGGAGGTCATCTAGTCCAACCCCTATGCAGCTCTCCTGTATTTTTAGTGGGGAAGTTCCCTGTGGTGAAACCGAAATCAACCCATGGTGAGTACACAGCTCTCCCACTTATCCTGGCATCACAGAGTCACTAGCTTTGAATGTTGGTCAACCACAGGTTGGGGGATTTGTGTTGCGCTCTGTACATGGCAGACTTTTATTATGTTAAAATTTTGTCAATCAAGGTGTGAAGACTAGCCCCATGTCAAAAGGATGGACCTACAGGCCATGAAGAAGCTGGACAGGACATATCCTACCCTGCACAGTGAAGCATGAGGAAGAGAAGAACCACCTGCCTGCTCAAGGTGCTGCTAATGCAGGGGTGGGCAATTATTTTGGGTGGAGGGCCATTTACTGAGTTTTGGCAAGCCATCAAAGGCCTCATGACCGGCAGCCAGAGGCAGATTAATATTTTCTGTATTTTTAGGGGCCTCGTGGGTCAGATAGCATGGCAGGCAGGCTGTGTCCGGCTCATGGGCTGCATTTTGCCCACTTGTGTGTTAATGTCTTAGAGAGGAGAGAAAACAGGAATCTCAGTGAGAACTGACAAGGAAGAGAAGAGAAGCGAAGCTGGGGCCGAGCCACGCTGTGGTTCTTGTTTGGGTGGGCTGGAGGTGTTACATGCAGACCTGTATAAAACAGGACTTGGACAATAAAATCTGATCTATGCCGAAGGAAACATCTCCCTGAATCCTGAAACTCTGCTAACACTGGAATTCGTGAGGGTAAAACAATGGCCATGGTGAAGAGTTAAAGACATGGAAAATCATGAAGTTAAACTCCACAAAATATAAACCACATCTAGTGAGGGCTATCATGGAGTTTACTTCTGGGTCTCCAGACCTCATGATTATCACCAGTGCCCCTGTGCCCATCTCCCACTTTTTCCTTTTACCTGCAGAAAGACTGAGGCAAAGGAGTTCAGCTTTCTCCTAGGTACTGGTAACCAGCTCTCCTGAGCAGTTGAGCAATGGCCCCACAATCCCATTTTTTTCTTCCTTCTGTTCCCTATGAACCTAAAGAAGGACTTCTTGTTCTTGATTCCCGTTGCTAATATAAGTTTGGTCATCACTTTAGCCTGTCTTATCTGTTTCCTGCAAACGTGGGCCATTGTGGAATAGTCCTCCTCGTGGCCTGCCCCAAGCTTCCCTTATTTATAAGCCTCTTTCTTCTTTCTTCAGAGGACCATGATTTCCCTGTTTAGCCAAGGGGGCTTCCCAGCCCTTCTCTTATCTTTTCTCTGCATGGGAATGGACTTCCTTTCTGTTTCAAGGATCGTGTCCTTAAGGAACAACCACTCGTTGTGCACACCTTTTGCCTTCAGTCCCATGTCCTGCAGCACTTGCCCTACTAGATTACAATGCACACTGGAAAGTATGAGGGCTAGCTCCTCCTGCTTGTGCCCTATGCTCCTGGTGTTAGTATATAGGCACCTGAGTCTTCCTTCTGAGGCCCTTGTCTTCCTCTCCCACTGAGGGAAAACTATTCCCCCAACTCCTGCATAAGTGGAGCTGAGGGAATGATTCAAGTCTTCCAGTGTCCCTAACTGCAGGGCTTACTTGTATGTTGGTCCCTGAACATGTTTGAGATTGTGTATCCCCGTCCCCCAGCAATCTTAGTTTAAAGCCCTGTCCAGAAGATTGGCCATCCTGGCCGCAAACAGGGATTCACTTCCTTGATGCATCCTTCCCCTGTTCCATACGTACCTGAAAAGGGGAGCACAGAACAGACTACCTGGGCCCCTTAAGCCCATCCCCCAGAGCCTTGTAGTCACTCCTGGCCATGTCATACGTGGATGAGGAGCACGGTATCATAGTTAGAGGGTCAGACAAGTCTGGGGATTCTCTCTGCTACATCCATGGATGCAAAGCCAACTTCACAGGCTAAGGAGTCTGGATGACAGATGGCCCTGCAGGACAAAGCCCCCCACCATCACCTTGTGCTTCCTCTTGGGGGGTGAAAAGGACTTCTGCACAGGCAGAAAGTAATTTGTGACTACAGCAGGATTTGAACCTATAATCTTCTGATTCAAAGTCAGATGCCATATCCATTAGGCCATACAGCCACTCTAAATTTGTCTGGATCAAACATTTGGAGAGACATAAAGGCAGAAATAAATTGCAACCTAACGCACTTCCAATAACATTTTAAAACTTGAATCCTTGGCTAAAATGCTCCAAGCATATTTTCATAGCTTTGAAAGTCATGGAATAAATAGTTCAGCAAGAAGATCTGAAATTTTGGACAATGAGGCAATACCCGCTTCCTCATCCTGCCTCAACACCTGAAGTCTACCCCCATGCCCCTCCATTCTGGGGCTGTTACCATGCAGATACATCTTTATAAACTTCAAGTGCAGCAGGTCATGGAGGATCCACAAGTCACCACCCATGACAGATAGCCCAGAATAAGAGTCAGAGAAACCTCCTACTAAGCAGCAAAATATTGCAGGAGCAGGAGTACACACTAACTGAAGGCAAATCCAATTGGATCAACTCAATTTAGGGTAGATCAACCCCACGATTGTACCACAAGTGGAGAAAAAAGGACAGTTCCCTGTATTCTCAGCGTTCTTTGTCCAGAATCTGTTCTCCAACGATTTCAAGCTTGCACCAGTAACCTGTCATTGGGTCTTTATGAGACATGGTTATGGAGGAGATGGGTGAAGTCTACAAAAACATTTGTACAGCACTTCATAGTATCAGCTCTTAACACACAGACAATGTAGACTTCACATCTCCTTTATACTCTATAGTATCCAGAAGCAGGCAATGTGGGCAAACACAGGCAGCCAGGGAAACTATGAGCCAGGCGCCAGCAGGCAAGCCCAAGGGGAGTGCAAAGAGCATAAAAATTGTCTTTCTTCTTCTAATCAAGAACTGACCTTAAAATTTTAGTCTCTGCACTCTCCGAGTAGGAGGGAGGCTATGAGTGTCCATCCATGGTAGGGAGGGAGGAGGCAGGGCTATAGCCTTACTTCCCTTTCACCCTGGCCAGAGGGAAGCACATGTTATATCTTCCTCAGAAGCTGACCCAATGTCTGCACTCCCCAATTCTTCTCAGCGCTCCTGTGGTTCTGTCCCAGAGCAGGGAGATGTGGCCACCATCCAGCCCACAGAGAGAAACATCCAGACACACATGATCCCACCTATTTACAAGTTGTCACAGGGAAACACGGTTCCTCTTTACCACCCTCCCTCATGTGACCCGGCAGGGTAAGAACAACAGGCACCTACCACGTACTCATAGCTTTCCCCCTCTGTTTTTGCTTGAAATCCCAGAAGCTTTTCTCTGTATTCCTTCAGAACCTGCAGTCAGTCCTGAATTTGCAAGTAAAATTATTTTCATTTGGAGGTTGAGAAGTAGCCACATCATTGCAAGCTCAGGACAGATATTGGTTCAGAATGGACTGAAACTTCCCCGCTGTTGTAACTCAGCAGAAGGTGATGATTGCACCTGGATGAAACCCACTGAAAAAGTCCACTGAGAGGTGCAATGTGAGGACTGGGGCTAGAGGGGCAGGTTTGTTCCCACATCTGAGGGCCAGCAGGTTCTAGGCCAGGGGCAGGCAAAATGCAGCCGGCCAGACCATACTATCCAGCCTATGAGGCCCCTAAAAATTTTAGAAAATTAATATTTATCTGCCCCTGGATGCCTGTCATGCAGTCCTTGATGGCTTGCCAAAACTCAGTAAGCAGCCCTTCACCCGAAATAATTGTCCGGCCCTACTCTAGGCTATGAACTCAGAGCGTAGAGTTAACACTGGCTTCTTTCCTGCACAGAAAGGTCTGTCTCCAACAGTGCCATCTGCCTCTAGGTAATTGCTAAGGAAAAAAGTGGGGTCAGGTGTAGCTTGTGCATCTAAACCCACCGCTGTTCTCAAGGAGCAGGTAATTCCTTAGTCAAAATCAAAATTAATCTCAGACACAGGAGGGACAAAGGAGCAGGGGCTGATCATTAAAGACATGATTTAGTCTTTTCAAAAACAAATTAGGGTTTTCTTGGCTGTTCTCTGGGTTTTGAACATTTGTTGTTGTCAAAACAAAAGTTTTTGCAGCTCAAGAATAGAAATGTTAATCTGAGAACAACATCCTTAGGTAAGGAATATGTTTTTCCTACATTTTCCAAACTAGGAATTCATGTAAAAGACCCCTAGGTGACTGAATCTCAAGAAACTCACAGGGTAGAGTCAGGCTACATGACATCTAGACTGACCTTCCGCCTCACAAGTGTATTATTCATGTCCCACAAGTGAGGGCATTGGCACAAGCCAGTGGTTCCTTACCATGTTCTCCTAGGCAGCCTCCTCAGTGGGAACCACAGTGTGAGCTTGGTGAGCCTTGGATCAATCACACACCACGCAGATGGGGGTTTGATCCTCCTTACAGAAAAGTTTCAGGGACTCCTGTAATAAAACCAGCAGATAAAGGAGGAGCCATAGTCATCCTAAACCGTGAGGATTACATAAAGGAAGCCAACAGACAGCTCTCTGATACCACCTACTACAAAGAACTACAAGAAGATCCTACTCCCCCATTCACCAAAAAACTCAACAATACCATCAAATCATTTCCACCAAGATTACAAGAAAAACTACAGACCTTGATCCCCCCGCTACCTAACCCGGGGACTTTTTACATGCTCCCTAAAATCCACAAACAAGGGAACCCTGGCAGACCTATCATATCCAACCATGGGACCCTAATTGAGGAAATATCAGGTTTTGTTGAATCCAAGAACCTGCAATATCTGATTGAGTTCCACCAGAAATTCAACAGTCACCATCCCTCCATCCGACTTTCTCTAGAATACTCCAGCACCAACATCTCCTTTTTAGACACAAGGATCAGTATTCAGAATGGTAAAATACAGACCACAGTATACAAGAAACCCACAGACCAACATACATATCTGCACAGAACCAGCAATCACCCGAAACACACCAAAAAAGCAGTGATATACAGCCAAGCCCTCAGATACCACCGCAAGAGAACACCCAGGATCGCCACCTCACCAATCTTAAAAAGGCTTTCACCCAGCAAGGACACTCCTCCAGAGAGGTAGATCGCATGTTTGAAAGAGCCACCTGGATACCACGTGAAGAACTGCTGCAGTACAGAAGAAAAACACCCACAAATCGCACACCGCTGGTTATGACCTATCACCCATCCCCTGAACCTGTACGGAAAATCCTCAAAAAATTGCAACCCATATTAGAAAAAGACCCTATTCTTAAAAAGATCTTCCCAGAGCCACCCATCCTAGCCTTCAGACAAGCACCGAACCTCGCCAACCTCATCACCAGAAGCAAACTTCCTCAACCCCAGAACACACCAAAAGGATCCAGACCATGCCATGACAAGAAATGCAAAACCTGCCCCCACATCTCCACCACCCCCACTATTACTACACCCCACAACAGAGCCATCAGCATCCCAGGATCATACAGCTGCACCTCCAGGAATGTAGTATACCTCATCCAATGCACCAAATGCCCTGATGGAAGATATGTAGGAGAGACCAGACAACAACTGCGCACCAGAATGAATGCACACCGGAAATCCATCAAAGACAGAAACACCCAATTACCGGTGGGGGCACATTTCTCACAGGAGCGCCACTCTCTCTCCAATCTCTCAGTCCTGACCCT